TGCCTAAGTTAGCACTGCATAAAAAAAAAAAAAAAAAAAAAAAAAAGTGATCTTGGTTATTTTACAAATGCAATAAGGTTGACCAAGACTGCATTTTAATTCTTTGTATTTCTTGACATAGATCTAGAATACAAAAAAACAACAACTTGAAAATAGAATTCAAATATTGGCACTGGAGTGTAGACCTTGAAAAACAATATTTCTTGGTACTAGATTTTAAAATATATTTCATAGCATTTAATAGTAATTTTAATAAAACATGTTTCTCTCTTTTGATAGACCACTCTCCAGACGGTTATAGGTCAGTGTATGGATCTAATCACTGTCCCTGTGGAAGGCAAGCTGGACTTGTATAAGTTTGACATGGAAAGATACAGTAGTATAGTCAAATGGAAAACTGCCTTTTACTCATTCTATCTCCCTGTTGCTATTGCTATGTACATGGTGAGTCCTCTAGTCAGCTGACATCTTTAAATAACAGAAATGTCTTATTAAATTTAGAAGTAAAGTTTCCCTCTTGCACTTTGTGATTTATATGGCTGAGGATGTAAAGGTCATTTGTTTCTGTCTGATTAAATGCATTGTTAAATTTCAAATGGTAGCTTTTTTCAGTACTTAGAGAAAACTACCCACAATAATAAACTACCCAAAATATCTTAATTGGCCCTTAGTATTTATTTTTATAGCATTTAATGTTTTAAATATTCAAATGAGCAACTTGCTACATTGCACCAGAAAAAGGTCCCTAATTACACACATGTTTTAGAATCACTGTAATAAGATTAAATGAAAGTAAAAATATTAAATAACTGTAATATGATTAAAATCTCCTGCCTATTACAAGATTCTTAACATTATTGAAAAAAATGTATTTTTTTGTTTGTCTGTTTTCAGTCTGGTATAACGGATGAAGTAGTTCTGGCTAAAGCCAAGGAAATTTTACTAGAAATGGGACATTTCTTTCAAGTACAGGTAAGTTTTAAATGCCTTATAATTTTGCTTAAGGTGTAAACCGTTCTTTTTAGATATTCATAAATTATATAACAGGTAATTTCTGCTAGTTATAAAAAAGAAATGATTAATGTCCTGTTATTTTAACTGCAGGATGATTATTTGGATTGCTATGGAGACCCAGAAGTCATTGGCAAGATAGGCACTGATATACAGGACTGTAAGTGTGGCTGGCTTGTCGTCCGAGCCTTAGAGGTAGCTAGCGAAGAGCAGAAGGACAAATTAAAGGTACAAGCTATGAGTTTATTGTACAAAGTTATGTCTAGTGTGTGTACTTTACTAGAGCAGAGTTTTTTAATGCCTAAAAAGTTTATCTGTATATTCTGTTACATTGGAATACGAAATGTGGGCTCTTTCTTTGATGTTTACACTAAAATTACTAGTCATCTCATTTTAAGACATGCATATAATGAAAGCAATGGGTTTTATTTTTAGTTGATGTAATTTACTTGACCACTGATTTATCAAAGAGAAGTTGCCTATTATTGGTAGCATACCTAACTGGCATAAAGCAGCTTCTATTTCTTATTAACAGCTCTTATTTTAAAAAAAACATAACTTTAAACTTCCTATGTGCGTTGAACGTATATTTTAATATTTCTATTACACATGAGACTGGTCACTACTAGTCACTGGTAACTGCCGTAGAATGCTGGGTTCGTGCTTCCTGGAGTCACACTTGACACGTGACAAACATAGATGACTTAAGTCCGTTTCAGCAGACAAAATATAAAGTTTATTTGATAACAATAATAATACTGACTCCTTGTCGGTTACATAATCCAATAAGAAACAAAGTCACATCCGCATAACTGCGGTATCAAATATATCCAACATGTCAAATTCTCTAAAATAGACTTCAAGTAACGCCTGCATCACAGCGGGTAACAAATACTTAATAATAATAATAGTACAGAATAATAACTACTAGAAATACATATCTCAAGTGACCGCTGGCTTCTGTTGCCCAAAAAATACTACTTAACTCAAAATGACTACTTGACTCTCTAAGTCACTACTGTCCGTACTGGACCAAAAGATACTACTCGACTGACTGGTCCAAAGGATACCACTTGACTGACTGAACTAAAAGTCAATTTTAGTAATTCTACTTCCTGTTTCTATATCAGGAGTTTCACATGTCATATTACCGTCTTAACCCGAGGTGAACATTTAACAGGCGATGTCAACCGAGACTGTGACAATAACCAGTTGGTTATCCCATTTCTGGAAACCCCTTGGCCTGCTAGTTTAGTTAACACTTTAAATGAGGCTCAAATAAGTGAAACCCTGAGGTTAAAGCAATAGGTTTTTTGTTGTTTTTTTTAGTCGATGCAGGAGGTAATTTACTTGACTGCGAATCACCAAAGAGGAGTCGCCTATTTTAGGTTGTGCTCCTTAAATCTACTGGTGAAAGGTTAAAAAATAATGGTTTAAAATGTTTCATTCCCAGAAGGCATCTTCACTATCTCACATCTGTTATAATCTGAAAAGAATGTTGACTTGCAGGAAATCTGATATCCTGGCTAAAATCAATATATGAAATCTGAAATCCTAGCTAAAATCAATATATGAAATCTGATATCCTGGCTAAAATCAATATATGAAATCTGATATCCTGGCTAAAGCTAATATAGGAAACGTCCAGCTTTTCTAAATTGTTGTAGAATTGAAGTATTGCTAATTTTTCGAAGACAATACCTGAGATGCTTTTTGTTTTCCATAAAAATAATGTAAAGGCTCCATTTTATTTTGCAAAAAAAGTTGTAACAAAGCAAACGAAATCCTGCTGTTGTCCGTCCTTTTTTTTTGTAATCTAGAATCCTTATTTACAATCTAGCACATTGGGTTGCGCTAAATTATTAAAATAAAAAAAAAAAACAGCTTTAACTGAATGATTATTTTAACCCTGCATAATTTCCCCATATCCAAATCAAAACAGGTAATGCTTGTGCATAGTTTAAGACTACTAATTACTTTATTCTTAATAAATATCATCAGATGTAAAATAATTTCTGTTGACTGCCAAGAAATATTTCTAAAGGAAAGTCTAATCATAACAATTCTTTCAAACTTGATGAAGAGAAAGCTCCCACCATTTTTCCTCCTATGTTTCTTACTTGATGAGGGAGGGAGAAGAAGGTATACATTGACTCTCTTTATTGGTAACACCCAGACCCAAATAAATTCAGTCTAAAACCATATTATTGACATTATGTCCACTCAAGTCAGCACTTGTAACACTTTTTAAGACTTTTTCTAAAGAACGGCTGGCATTTCTAAAAAAATCTATTCAGTAAAAGTAGAGTTTCAAGTGTAAATACAAACACAACTAAAACTGTTTTCTTCAAACAAAATGGGCACCGTGGCGTATTTAGTTTAAGCACTTGGCTTCTGAACCTGGGTTCGAATCTCTGTAAAAACTGGGACTTTGAATTTCAGGATTTTTAGGGCACCCCTGAGTCCAGCCAACTCTAATCGGTACCTGACTTAAGTTGGGGAAAGTAAAGGGGCGTGGTCATTGTGCTGGCCACATGACACACTGCTCATTAACCATTGATCAAAGAAACAGATTACCTTAAACATATCTACATCATCTGCCACTATAGATTGCAAAGTCTGAAAGGGAAACTTTACTTTTTGTTTACTCTAGTACTTTATATTTTTAAATAACATTTTGGGGACTACCATTGGAGACTGGGAAATGACGCATTGCAATGTTTGATTCCTTCTTGAACTTTTACAGGAGTGCTATGGAAAGTGGGACGATGAAGCTGTGCAGAAAGTGAAAAACATTTACAAAGAGTTGAAAGTTGAAAGCTTGTATCTTCAGTTTGAGGAGGAGAGCTACACCAAGATTACCCAAATGATCAACACGCTCGATGTCAAACTACCGAAGAGCATATTCCACGACTTTGTGAACAAAATCTATAAGAGACAAAAATAATTTTTCTCACTTAGTCTCAACTAGTGAGGGTAGATAATTTAATATATTGGTGCATATTTTTTGAAGGTATATCCATAATAATCTTGGATAAGAAGTGGACATGTAAGGTTGGATTGCAGAAGAACCACATATCACTGTGGCTGCTGAACACCATACAATCGCATATGACTCAAACGTTGAACTAATTCTATTCATAACCAGCATTCTTAATTTAGCAAATAACAATTCTTATGTATTAGAAGAAAGGCAAAAATACTGAATTTAAAAAAAAAAGGCGGCAGGGGTTACATAATCTGAAATATATAGCGACTATTGCGGTCATTTGGATGTGTTATGACTGTGTCATTATGGTGTTAACATTGACAGACTTAGTCTGTCCTAATCAGATCTGTTAGCAGGTAATATCATTCATTTCTATCATTAACTGTGTTTCGTCTGTTCGTAGATTTTTAAAGATGGAGGGTTATCTTGACTAAAATATTGTTCGAATGCACTGTATATTTTGCCCCCATCTGCTATGCCCCAACTTCAATGAACACGGGAGCCTTGTCCAGATCTTGGAGGTTAGACATAGTGGTGCTGAAAGTAGAACATTCTTAGGAAAAAAAAATTGTGGTAAACGCAGCCAAGAAATAATAGATTTTGTATCTGCTCTTTTTTCTTTTTAATTTTTAAACTTGTAACAACTCAATTTTTGTTTTTTATTCTGCATTTTATGTAGGTGTGTTTTTACACTGGTTTTAAGTGTATTTCTTTTCACTGCCGCAGTACAAACTATATTATTGTTCCATTTCTATAATAGTTAAAGTGATTGAGTGAATTTGTTGAAATTTAACTTGTCACAATTAAACATTGTACATTAAATAAATGGATGTATTATTTTTAAATGTTAAATCTCTACATGTTTGTGAAAGGTCTAAATAGTGTTGAATATAATAGTGTAAAAATGTAAGTGTTGCATCCGATTTGAAGCACAGGTGGGCTGGGGTGGGTGGGGAAAAGAAATATTGACTTTGTCTTAGGTCCCTTGCTCCTTGCATGTTTTTTTTTTTTTCACCATACAGCCAAAAAAAAACAAACCCTGAGATTTTACTGTGTGGTAGATTTTACATTGGACAATTTTTTAAATATATTGCATTTCGAATGGCTAATAACTGCTTTGTTGTGATTGGTTCATCTCTTGTGGCCATAAGATTATTATAATTATAGTATGAAAGCATACAATTTGCCAATTAGGTCAATGATTACTTTACTGCCTCCTACTTCAATCCTTCAGCCTTACTTTTTTTTTCGCTGAAGAGTGAAAGCTGTATAATGCACAAGGGACCTTGGTCTTTTTCTTTTCTGTTTTCTCTATAATTGAGGAATGCCTAGTCTGTATGTATTATCGGCGAAGAGATTTGCGAATGTAATTGTTTATGTTGATTTTTTTTTGTGAACTCAAAATAAATTTTGTAATCATTTTTATATACATGAGTTTCCTTGAGCTAAACTTTGTAATATAACTCAACCGAGACCAATCTCATAAAAGAACTGCAACATAACCTGTGAGTAGTGAAAACCAATAACTCGTTGCCATGTCGTACAAACCTGTGACTTGGCAACGGACTATTGGTCTCCCCTGGTGGTGACATCACAGGTCAGTGTTGAGGCTTACTATAGTCATTGGTCTTTACTAAAGTAATAATGAAAAATTGTGTTAGTTTCCATTATTGTGAAAGAACTCTTTGACTACATTAAAAGTTATAAAGCAGGTTGAGGGCATAGTGAAATAGTTAAGGAGCAATGGGAATTTCCTTAAAATAATACGCCCCAAAAAACTTGTTCAAATGACTTTTATTTTAACAGTTTACCAAACTTGCTAAAATGACTTATACTTAGGCTATAATAGATTAATTTTAAATAGTTGTAAGAAGTGAATTTGAAGTGTTTTTCAATCTCAACTTAAGAAGCAAAATATTTTAGATTAAGTAAAGGTCTTTTAAAAAAAATATATCAAAATCCAGGGGTTGAGATTTTATCCCTGCCAGACTCATGTACTGATTTACTATTCCTTCTGCTGATCTGTCACCTCACCCTCCCTTAGTCTGATAAGCCATTGGGGCACTACACACGATCAAACGTCATTCTCTATTCCTCTCTGCCTTTTGTCTTAGGTTGAAACCCTTTCAATGATAGGCCCTTCCTTTGTTGTATGTTTTCTTCTCTCTCTTTCTCTGTCTGCCTCTTTCTTCTCTCTCTTTCTCTGTCTGCCTCTTTCTTCTCTCTCTTTCTCTGTCTGCCTCTTTCTTCTCTCTCTTTCTCTGTCTGCCTCTTTCTTCTCTCTCTTTCTCTGTCTGCCTCTTTCTTCTCTCTCTTTCTCTGTCTGCCTCTTTCTTCTCTCTCTTTCTCTGTCTGCCTCTTTCTTCTCTCTCTTTCTCTGTCTGCCTCTTTCTTCTCTCTCTTTCTCTGTCTGCCTCTTTCTTCTCTCTCTTTCTCTGTCTGCCTCTTTCTTCTCTCTCTTTCTCTGTCTGCCTCTTTCTTCTCTCTCTTTCTCTGTCTGCCTCTTTCTTCTCTCTCTTTCTCTGTCTGCCTCTTTCTTCTCTCTCTTTCTCTGTCTGCCTCTTTCTTCTCTCTCTTTCTCTGTCTGCCTCTTTCTTCTCTCTCTTTCTCTGTCTGCCTCTTTCTTCTCTCTCTTTCTCTGTCTGCCTCTTTCTTCTCTCTCTTTCTCTGTCTGCCTCTTTCTTCTCTCTCTTTCTCTGTCTGCCTCTTTCTTCTCTCTCTTTCTCTGTCTGCCTCTTTCTTCTCTCTCTTTCTCTGTCTGCCTCTTTCTTCTCTCTCTTTCTCTGTCTGCCTCTTTCTTCTCTCTCTTTCTCTGTCTGCCTCTTTCTTCTCTCTCTTTCTCTGTCTGCCTCTTTCTTCTCTCTCTTTCTCTGTCTGCCTCTTTCTTCTCTCTCTTTCTCTGTCTGCCTCTTTCTTCTCTCTCTTTCTCTGTCTGCCTCTTTCTTCTCTCTCTTTCTCTGTCTGCCTCTTTCTTCTCTCTCTTTCTCTGTCTGCCTCTTTCTTCTCTCTCTTTCTCTGTCTGCCTCTTTCTTCTCTCTCTTTCTCTGTCTGCCTCTTTCTTCTCTCTCTTTCTCTGTCTGCCTCTTTCTTCTCTCTCTTTCTCTGTCTGCCTCTTTCTTCTCTTCCATAAACTTTGAAGATCTGCGAGAGGGATTTGAAATAAAATGAACAAACAAAGAGGTTCAAGAGATACAACAAAGTTCCATCAGATATGTGTGTGTGTGTGCATACCTTATTTTAAATTCAGGTCACCTGAGCTGGCACTTTCTTATTAGTCAAAACCGCAAGCCAAAAAAAGTTGTCATTTCTTTCCAGCTAAATTTGTGCACCTAGTAGCTTTCACATTACAAAACTTGTATTACAGCACATCATATTACTATGAAATAAATAAGTCCTCTTTTATTTATTTACATTATAGGCACTACTTTATCAACAATCAACTTGTTTTTTCTTTAACCGAAGCAATAATTTTAGATTTGATTATGGCATTAAATATTTATCAAAATTACTTCATAGAATTTGATCCAAGATCTTGAATATAATTGTCTATTATCTACAAATGGAAAAGTTTAATTATTTATAAATCTGCACTTCCCAAGTATTCTTTCTTCAAATTTATTAAAATTGTGATTGTAGATTTGGAAAACCTACTCACAATCTACATTATTGTAGCCGTAACAGTGTTATATTTGATGATCACTTTTTTTTTTTTTTCAGAAATGTTTAGTTCAATGTTTAAAGATGAAAAAAAGAGTGTAGCTAAAACATGACTTAGACCTTTCTGAGTTAAAAAAAAAACCAACAACAATGATGGTAAAAACGCCTGGTTGGTAAATACCATATAGAAACAAAAGGGAGGGGGGGGGGGGTACTTTTGAAATTTCTTTGGTATCGATCGACTAAGAAGAAGCGCTATAAAATATATCTGATTAAAGTTTGAGAAAGTAAAGGCAGTTGTGCTGGACATATCTTCCCTAGTTCAGTGGTCGGCAACCTTTTGAGTCAGAAGAGCCAAAAATTACAATTTTCAAAATTTCAACTTTTTAAAGAGCCACAATATTTTTTTTTTCTTCCAAACAATAAATAGTACTCGCATTAATCAATTTTTTGATTAAAAAACAAATCAATTTATACATAAGAAAAAAAATATCAATTTTTCTTTATGTTCGTAGTCTTTTACAAAACAAATTAGATTTTTTATATATTATATATATATATACTGTATTATATATATTATATATTAATATATTGTATTAATTATTATTGAAGTATAAAATTTAAACAGTTAAACATTAACATACAACACTGATCTGTACTAAAATAACAAACAATTGAGCAAACAAATTATGTGGTAACTTTGGCTTTGCCGGTTTTAAAACGTTTGGATACATTTTGATCATAACTTGTTTTTAGTTTCAAACACGACTCTACATTTTTCGTTTGTTAGTAGGCTTCTTAAATTGCTCTTAATTATATTCATGCAAGAGAACGCTTGTTCGGAAGAATATGCCGATCCAACGATAGTCAGCCTTCCAAATGCCAACTTTTTCACGTGACTGAATTAATCTGGAAGACTTTTCCATGCATCGAATATAAGTGCCTAATCTCGCGGCATTTCTTTTAAAGCTGTCCACTTTTGTTGCGTTACATACATTTGTGGACGTTCAACTCTTCCAACCTGATTTTCAACTGTGTAAAACCCCAACTCCATAAAGCTTTACTTTTTTAAATCGATCAGTTGCATGTCTAGAGATCCAGTATCAATTCCAAATGGCTCAATGTAGATTTCGTTACTATAAGTGTTAAGATTTATTTTATAAATGCTACAACCGTTTGGTTTGTCTTGAATGGCTCAAATCTGTCAATAAATTCATCTTTTTTTTTCTTTATCACTGTGATGAAGTGGCTTGTGTCAACAATTGCAATGCTTTTATCGCAAAATTGCTTTACAAAATTGAAAATGAAGTAATTGACCGCACTGAGTATCTTCTGTAAAAAGAATAAATTTCTCTTCAAAACAAACGAGTTCTTCTACTAAAACATAGACCGGGTATACCTCTCCTTGCAGTTTTAGATTCAGCTCATTTAATTTCACTGTTATATTCAAGTAAAATTTCTGCAACCATTTGTCGTTCTCTAATTCAAGGTGATAATCGTTTTGGGATGTACTTATTTCATCTAAGCACAAAGCAAAACGTTTCAACACCTTACCTTTGGAAAGCCATCACACTTTATTGTGAAGAAATAGCTCGGAATAGAGTCTCCATTTCTTGGTGTATTATGCAGTGAAACGTGAGAATTTTTGTAGTTTATTTTGCGCCAAAGAATCGAAGTTGCCCCTTTATTTGTTTCCTGTCATATTTCTTACTCCAACAGTTGCTATTTAAACGATTTTATTTATATGTATTATATTGTCCACAAGGTATTTTGCACGACATTTGCTATATCTTCTCTTGTTTGTCACGAGAGCGGTAGCAATCCTAAAAGTTCTTCTTTTGGACCCTGGGAAGACATATACCTGACATAAAAAGCAACTTATGCCTTGGCTTTTATGTCAAAAGACTCATCTATAGCAAGTGATAAGGCAGAAAAAAGTTAAACACCTTCCAGATGCAAATATGTTACATTTCAAGAAATGAGGGGAGGAGTGCGCTGAATAGCGAGTACAAGTGGCTGCAAGATAGAGTCGAATCATTACGATTTTTAAATGTTTTTTTCTATAAAATAAATAATATCTGTGCATAGAACTAAAGAGCCGCAGCTTATCATCCAAAGAGCCGCAGGTTGCCGACCCCTGCCCTAGTTAACTGCTGAGTCACAAAACAAAAGAACATCACACAACTTGGCCTGGCTGTCTGTTTATCTGCCTGTCTGTCTCTCTTTCTGCATGTGCACTTTTCATTTTATTACAAGTAGTAGCCGCCTCCCTGTTGATTTCTGATCATATTGATCTGTGTTTTCATAATTAGCTATATTATTACAACAATAACAACATTATCCTTTGTCTGTTAACATCTCGCACCAACAGCTGACACCAGCTTCTGATGGAGAGAAGACAGAAGTAGCAATAATATTGAAAAACAAATGGATCTCCTAGCATTCTTTCTAATCAAGTAGTATCCCGATCTAGTAGTATTCTGATATAGCAGCAGGCCTATTTTGATCGGTAGTATTCTGATTAAGTAGATTTCTGATTTAATAGAATTCAACAGTTACTTCCTTCGCCACAAACGTCGTGTTAGGTTTCCAGAAATTTGAGACCCTTAATCTTTATTACGCCAAAAATGGAAAT